AAAAAAAAAAAAAAAAAAAAAAAATCAAACAAACTCACCGTGGGAAAGGTGTTACTCGTATAAGAAATCAACATACAGGTTTTACCCACAGCACCATCGCCCACCGTAACGCACTTTATAAACCTGGACGCACTCATCTCGAAGCACCAGATCTGTAACCCGAAAACTACAGTGGGTTGGTTGCTCAGAATCGATTGTTCATGAGATCATACAGAACAGAACAGAACGGAACGGAAGAGAAAGAACGAGAAAGTGAGAAAATCAACAGTATTCCATGAAAGAGTTTGGAATCAAGAGAACGAGGATCTGAATTCTTGAAAAGGGGAAATGGAAAATGCAGCGTGAGAGATCCCGAATTGCAGGAACAGAGAGAAAGAGAGAAAGAGAGAGAAGCGAAGAAGGGTTATTTTGAAAGGGGAAAGGAAATGAATTGCGGTTGAAGCGCTCGCCGGCCTTTCTCACCTTCTGCCACCTATAGCGCCTCCTCTTCTACCACACATACCCCCTTTCCCTTTTTTTTCTTTTAACCAAAAATAATAATAATACTAATAAAATAATCTTTTTTATTTATTTAATTTTAATTTTTTATTTTATGGGATAGGGTCTAGCTCCACTCCACCGTCCACCGTTCCCTAGTGACTAGCTCTAATATCATTCATAATGACCCATATTCTCCTCTTTGGGCGGCTTTCTCTACTGAGCTTCTTTAGACTTTAAAACACGTCTACTACTAAGGAGAAGTTTCCACACTCTTATACAAAATGCTTTGTTTCCGTCCCCACCAACCGATGTGTGATCTCACAATTTACCCGTTCAAAGGCATAACATCTTCGCTGACACACTGCCCAGTATCTGACTCTAATATTATTGGATATAGAATAATGGTGCGAATTAAAAGACAAGTTTAAATAAAAAAAATATTATTTTTTTAATTATTTGAAAATCATTAAAACTTTATTTCCATCTCAATTTTTTTAATTGTTATAAAAATATTAATAAAAAAATGTGATTTGAATATTTTTTAAATAATTGGAGAATATATTTAAACTTTTTTAAGGTAGAATAAAAAATAATTATAGAGGGTTAAATTATGTAATATTTTGAACATTTATTGGGTTATTTATTTATTTATTATGAATTTTAGATTGTTTAATTATGGTCTAAATTTAAAAAAATTATTATATTATTATTATTATTATTGAAAAATTAATGGAACGTGGCCAGCAACATTCTCGAGGTCATAGAATAGGAGTGCATTACTTTAATCTAAATATTTTAAATATTAATGCTATATCCATTGGAAACTGAATTATTAAGAATCCTTTTTATAATTATTTTAATTAATAATTCAAATCTTAATTAAAAAAAATGTGAAAATCACAATGAAATTTAATTCTTTTTAAGTAAATTTATGAATTTTTTAAAACGCTTATTTCTTTAGGTCTCACAAATTTAAAAATGGTTATTCTAATTTAGTTTTTTATTTTTTATTTTTAAAAATTAAATCTATCAATTACACCCTATCAGTACACAATCTCTCCCTAAACCGGTGAGTCATTGTTTTACTCTCTTGTTTGCATATATAACGTCTCTTTCAAAATCTCATTTTGCCCTTTTTTTCTAAAACTTCTTAAATTTGAGGCTAGAAACTTGAGCCTACGTTGCTTGGTCGTAGGCGACTAAGAACGAATTGGCTTAACTCACTTGTCGTTCGAAAGTGAGTGTCGTATAATCGTAAGTCCGCTGTTATCAAGAGTGCGATTGTGACAAGCTAGTAGATCTTATAATATGTCCGCTAATAATAATAATAAATTAAAAAAAAAAAAAAATAACCAAAAACGGTAGATTTTATTCTTCAAAGCTGTGTTTGTGGACCCCATTTCATAAAA